CAGACAACCGCTGCGGTCTGTAAGAAGCTCACAATGATCAGAGACCATCCCCACCGCGTCACCCGGGGGCGCACCCCGCCCCAAAGCGCCCGTCCCCGCCGCGTCACCCGGGGGCGCACCCCGCCCCAAAGCGACCGCGCTCCCTGTGACCCTCAGCCCTGGGCCCCAAAGGAAACCTGCCCCCCTTTCAAAAGATGCCCTGGGAATTCCTACCCTTCCTGGGCACTGAACAGAGACCCTGGACTGCAGAGTTCTTTCCACAGCCCCCTTTTCTGGCCCTGTGCCCCAAGGGCAGGGAACGGGCACTTCACCTGCAATGGTCCCTTAGAATCTGGGCTCATCCCTGTGACCCTCAGCCCTGGGCCCCAAAGGAAACCTGCCCCCCTTTCAAAAGATGCCCTGGGAATTCCTACCCTTCCTGGGCACTGAACAGAGACCCTGGACTGCAGAGTTCTTTCCACAGCCCCCTTTTCTGGCCCTGTGCCCCAAGGGCAGGGAACGGGCACTTCACCTGCAATGGTCCCTTAGAATCTGGGCTCAGTCGCTGAACTCTCAGTTGCACCCTGCATTTCGCAGTGAATCCCTTGGGGGCGGGAGGCTGCGTGTGGCCAGAAAGCGCCTCTCTCTCCAGCCCAGGCTATTGCCGTGGTGTCGACGGAGAGCAGCCTGCTCAAAGCACCGGAGGGCCCTGGGTTTCTAGAATTCGAAAAACAAAATCACTTGATCCCAGTTACATCCGTCTGTAGGGAGAGGAGGCTGGTTGCAAATAGCCTGGCCTATTTGCTTTTCACATCTCTGCTGGTGCTAATGACACGGGGGCTTTTAAACGCAACACTTCTCAGCAGAAAACGTGCCTCTGCAAAATCTGAAATTCTGCTACCAGGAAACTAAAGGCACAAGCAGGACTCGCGCTCACTGGCAGCATAGACTGTAAGCGGAAACGAAGGTAACGAACTAGCCACATCGTCTGTGACGTAGTGGGGGGAACCTGCTAACTCTCTGGCTGCTGTCTGTAGCACCACCGAGCAGACAAGTGATGAGTCACTATGCAAAGAGGGTATCCCAACTGGTTTGGCCAGCTGACCCCCATGGAGAGGAACAAAGGGAGGTGGATGCTGCCCTGGCTGGGGGGCAGGGCTGGGGGAGAGTGAGTTAGTTCCTGGCTGGAAAGCAGCGAAGAAGGCGCTGGGGAGGGGGCTGGAACCCACCGGAGAGATGAGACAGCGTCTCCCGGGAGGCCTGCAAGCCGTAGCCCATCTAGGGCAGGAGCCAGCCCAGCGGAGCTACGGCGGCTGGAGATCCAGCTGCGGATGAAGGAATTGGAAGCAGAGGACTGAGAGAGGGACCGCCAGGACCAAGAGAAGGAGCGCCAAGATCGAGAAAGGGACCGCCAGGACCGAGAGAAGGAGCGCCAAGATCGAGAAAGGGACCGCCAGGACCGAGAGAAGGAGCGCCAAGATCGAGAAAGGGACCGCCAGGACCGAGAGAAGGAGCGCCAAGATCGAGAAAGGGACCGCCAGGACCGAGAGAAGGAGCGCCAAGATCGAGAAAGGGACCGCCAGGACCGAGAGAAGGAGCGCCAAGATCGAGAAAGGGACCGCCAGGACCGAGAGAAGGAGCGCCAAGATCGAGAAAGGGACCGCCAGGACCGAGAGAAGGAGCGCCAAGATCGAGAAAGGGACCGCCAGGACCGAGAGAAGGAGCGCCAAGATCGAGAAAGGGACCGCCAGGACCGAGAGAAGGAGCGCCAAGATCGAGAAAGGGACCGCCAGGACCGAGAGAAGGAGCGCCAAGATCGAGAAAGGGACCGCCAGGACCGAGAGAAGGAGCGCCAAGATCGAGAAAGGGACCGCCAGGACCGAGAGAAGGAGCGCCAAGATCGAGAAAGGGACCGCCAGGACCGAGAGAAGGAGCGCCAAGATCGAGAAAGGGACCGCCAGGACCGAGAGAAGGAGCGCCAAGATCGAGAAGAGCGGAGAACCAGCGGGGCACCGGCTGCGCCAAGTGCGGATGGGCCCCAGGGTCCCGGGGGTGCCAGATGCTTGGAGAGGCTCATGGTGGCCCAATTGAAGGACGTGGGCGACAGACGGGAGCGGAAATTACACAATCCAGAGAGATTTTCTTAATGTTCCATCCACCGAGCGGTGTGGTGGGACGTGGGGGTCACATGACTGCATCGCACATGACCCCTCCCCGTGTCTCCCCTAGCCTGAGGGAGGGCCCTGCCCCACCCCCACTCCAGCCCTGCCCCCAAACCTAGGGGACTAGCAGAGGGACCTGGCCTTGGCAGCAGGGGGGAAGTGGAGGAACCTCAGCCTGAACCCAGCCCGCTGCACTCCGCTTCGGCTCCCGACCCCCGCAGCCTGCACCAGTCCGTTAATCCGCCAGGCCCTGTTGCCAGGGAAGGGGCTGGGGAAAGGAATGGAAACCCCCCCTACCCCCCAGCAGTGCTGGGAAGTGGAGCAAGGCGGCTGAGAGTCAGCTGAGGGGAGCAGGCTGGGGCGAATTGCTCCACGTCCCGCTGCCACCTCCAGTGAGTCAGGGCCCCCGCTAGTACCCGCTCCACTCTCGGCCCTGCGGGGGCCCCAAAGCCTGGGGCCCAGGACAGTCATTGGGGGGCACATGACCCTTCATGCCCTCCATACACATTGTCCCAGGTTCAGCCTAAAGCACCTTAGCACCTGTGATTTAAGCCCATTGCTCCTTGTCCTGTCCTCAGAGGTTACAGAGAACGATTTTCATCCCTCCTCCTGGTGACACCCTTTTATGTACCTAACGCCTGTCGCGTCCCCTGCAGCCTGCTCGTCTCCAGACTAAACAAGCCCCGTTCCTCCAGCCTCCCTCTCGACCATCCATCAGTTTTGTTGCTTTTTTTTTCTTTTTGGACTTTCTCCAGTTCGTCAACATCTTTCCCGAAATGTGGCACCCAGAAGGGGACACTGCTCCAGATCAGCGCGGAGCGGGACAATTACTGCTTAGCTCTTGGATCGGAGCGGGAGCTATGTCAGTCTGTATCTGCAGAGACAGCCAGGAGCCGTGTGGCACCCTGAGCTAACACATTTCTGTGGGCAGACGCTTGGCCCGGTCTTGGCCCACAAACGCTTGTGCCCAAAGAAATCTGCTAGTCTGTGAGTGCCACTGGACTCCTCGCAGTGCTCTCCTGCCTTGCTCCCAACACTCCTACAGACGCATCCCAGAGGGGCGGCAGGAGGAGCCTGGCCACAGAATTCCATTGTTGCCTCGTATTTCGGTTGTGACCCTCTATGACCCCAAGCGTTTCTGCACCAGTCCTCCCTCGCTGAACAAAGTGGGCGAGGGAATCTCTTAAGTCGGCAAGAGACACAGGCTTTCAAGCGACACGGCTGTAAGGATCCAGAGCCCGGGACAGCAGATATTCCTACAATGCGACCAGGAGCCATGCAGCAGCAGAGCCAGGAGCAGGTGCTGTGGGAAGCACACCCAGGAACCAGTGACAGCACTCAGCAGCCGTCTGGACAAGTCGCCCCCCGGAAGTTGTCGGGGCAGCCACAGAGATCTGAGTGACACTGCCAGACTTTGCCTCTTTTCCTGGGCACTAACTCCAGTCTGACTGACTTCTGCCTCCTAAGCTTGTACTGCCTCTGATCTCTGCCCCCAGCCTGAGCGTGACCCTGACTCTGGTCTAGCGAGTGCTCCTGTCATTGGTGGGCAGACCTGTGCCCAGCTGTGACCCCTAGGTCATGCCGCCTTGTGACGTAGTGGGGGTACCTGGCTGTTTTCTGTGCTGCTGGCTCTGGGGTACCCCCCACTGGCTGCCGTGGGTACCACGACCCAGCAAAACAGGATGAGTCACTATGCAAACCAGTGGGCAGACACCCCCCATGGAGAGGAACAAAGGAAGGTGGATGCTGCCCTGGCTGGGGGGGCAGGGCTGGAAGAGGGTTAGTTAGTTGCTGGCTGGAAGCATGGAGGAGACAGCCTAGGGAAAGGGGCTGGAGTTTAGGGGCCCAGTCTCCCCCATCTCAAGGGGGCCTGAGGCATCCTAGCCCAGCTCTGTGACCAGATTACATCTGTGCTGTGCTGTATCCTGGAGAGGCAATAAACTTCCTCTATTCCACCGGCTGGTGCAGTCTGTTTGTGCCATTTCGGGGTGCAGGAGACGGGGGACCCCCAACGCGCCGTCACACGCCTACGCCCCAGTCCCCTATCACCCCTCTCAGGGACAGGGAAGGGCCGCCCTGTCAGATAAACACCACTCCTGACCAAGAGTTCAGCTACACATCTCCTACCAGACCAGCCTGGGCGAAGTGGCTTGGCCGCCCTTCCCCATTTTGTATTTGTGTAACTGGTGGTTCCTTCCGTGCATTTGTCCTTGTTGAACTTCATCCTCAGGCCCCTCCCCCGTTCTGAATTCTAACCCCGTCCTCCAACGCACTCGCAACCCCTACCGGCTTCTATGGCCCACAACTTGGTGCATGGGCACGCTCACTGCCATTATCCAAAGTATTCCTGAAGATACTGAATAAAACGAGACCCAGGAAAGATCCGTGCGGGACCTTGTTTGATTGCACACCACTGAGAAGGGCGTCTGAGTGCGGGTTTCCGACCAGCTGGGCACCTGCTTATAGCCCGTTTGTCTAGGCTCAGTTTTTCTTATTGGTTTATAGTTACAGATTCCTAATCCCTACCCTGGTGCTGCAGACTGAGCCCTTACGGCTGATCCCTGTCCTCTCCATAACCGCTGTTAGCAGACTCAAAGGCTGCCGTCAGGCCCCCCCAGTTGTCTTTTCTCAAGACTAAACATGGCCAATTTTTTAACCTTTCCTGGGCAAGGACTTCTCAGCCTTTTCTCATGTGTGTTGCTCTTCTCTGGATTCTCTCCAATGTGTCCCTTGCCTCGAGCTGGTGCCCAGAACTGGACACAGGAGGGCAGCGGAGGCCTCTCCAGGGCCAGCCCGAGTTTGCAGTGGCCTATATGACAGGCAACACTCCTGGAAACATTCTCTGGACTAGGACTTGTTTTGCAATAGCATCGCATTGGTGCCTCACTTTCCATTGTGACCCACTCTCCCCCAGACCCTTTCCAGTGGCACCATCCAGCTAGTTGTTTCCAGCTCTGTAGTTGTGCCTTTGATTTTCCTGCCTACCTACTTTGCACTTGCCTTTTGAATGTTAACTTACTGACTGCAGAGCAGGGCCGTTCTGAATTCTAACCCTGTCCTCTAGCACGCTGCGCCCCTCCCAGTCTAGTGCTCACCTCGAACCGCCCACTGCTGCTGGGCTCTCCACTCTATCACACTGGCCAGTCTCATACCTAGGACAGACCCTGACCCGGTAACACCGCTGCTGCGAGGCAGGAGGGCAGGTCGGGACCAGCGTTACAGGCCAATGTATCTGCTTTGCTGAAACGCCCCATGACTGCGAGCCTACAACACAACTTAGACTTTGGGAAAAGTTCTGAAGCCCAGCGCCACGCCCGTCCTGTCCAAACCCAGTCCCCGCGCCGCCTGCTGGAACCGCCCAGCCCCCGGGAGCGGCGCAGAGCCGGCCGCACACGCCAGGGTCACGCAGGGCGCCAGGAGACCCCTTCCCGCCCGCCC